ATCCCTTAAAGGTTAAGATATTTGAATGGTTCGATACTTTCCCTTTTTCTAACATAGCGAAGTAAATCCCCCCTCAGTCAACGGAAGCAAAAGAAGAGGTAACCATTGAGAAAGCACTTAGCTGTATAGAAAATATTATTGGGAGAAAGGAAAATCTATGATTAAGCATAGATTCCTATCGTATGTTACTGTTTAAACAAAGGAAAGAATAACCTAATTTAGGGATGAATTCCACATGTAAAGCAAGGAAGTTAAAAGAGTAAAATTATATTGATTTAATTGGGGTCCTGAATATGATGAAAATGAGATGCAATGCATTCACAGGTGAAAATTCATAACGACTTCCCTCTCAACCTAGTTCTGCCTAAGTAAAAGGACTCAATCGTTTGAAACTAGCACGAATATAATTTGCGACTTAGAAGAGGAGGTATCAAAAATGATTCTGTATGCCTAGGAATACACATAATTACTCCTTATGCGAATTCCTTTAACTATTTACGTTTAGAACATCATTTATTTTTATTTCACACATCATTATTTACCTAAATATGATAATATATATTCTTAAACTTAAGTAAGTACATTCAGAATTGTAAGAGCTGCTTGAAACATGCCTGAAAGATTTGGATCAATTTGTAGATGTAAAAAGAGTCTCTATAAAATATTTTGAAATTTTACATTAAACTTGCTTCTCTTGAAGAAACGCTTCCCTTCCCTTTTAACCAATATGATGTATCCAGTAAAAGCATCCAGAACAAGCACTAAAGCTAGCGCTGTCAAGGTAAATAACTCCACTTGGAGGACATCATCATTCATTAAGTCAATAGATTTCAACCTAACAAATTAGAAGAAGCAAGCGATGAAGATAAATAACAAATAGTACGAGCTTTTATCAGAAAGGAAGATTTGTATGAGCTATTGACTTAGATTAAAAACATTCATGTGAATCATTCTTCATCAATGAGATACTGAAATGATCAGGAAAGACAACAGACAACATAACATTAATCTTGATAGGGGTTGATTTGAGATAATTATTCAAATCTAAAGGCAATTTCACATTAGAAAAATAAATCGAATAGAAATGCAATTGATTATTACAAAACAGCATTAAAACATACAATGTCAACTAAGTTTTATTAAAATTGCTTTTGTTTTGCAAAATATATTTCATTACTCACTCAAAAAAAAGTTATGCTTCTGATCCTTAATAAGAATCTATATTTTAAATTCTAGAATAAGCAAATATTCCTATAAGCTATGCTATAAATACCTTTATTCTCAACCTTCATCTAAATAAAAGTTTTTAAATTGAATAACTTAGACTTTGTAAATTTTATTCTTCAAATAAATTTGCTACCTTAAT